GCGCAACACGCTCCCAAAGAGATACCGAGAGACCTGCAAGAGGTCTCTCAAAGGTCTCTTGACCATTACCCAAACACGGTGGCGGGATGGGCCGAAAGCCACTGCATGCCGCTGAAAAGCCAGCGCTCCTCGCCAGACCCGGCTCGGCGCCAAAGCGGCATGCCGTTGGCCATCCCCTGCTGAAGCCAGTACTCTCCAGAGCAATGGCCCTGGTCGCCAGGACACGCGACGAAGAGAACCTGCACCCGACTCAGGTCGGCCTCCATGTCGGGGGCGCTTCTGCCTGTGGACTCGACGTGCATGCTGCATCGCTCGGCCTGGGCGGGGTCGGCAGGGACGGTCGCCAGCGCCTCGGTCCCCCACCGGTCCGCTGCCGTGCCTGAGGAGGCCGTGTCACGCAGCGGCATCCCTCGCGTCGCCGGCTCAGGCCCTGCCCACGCCCTCCTGGAGCTCACGATGACGGTGCTCTGAAAATCGGACTCGTCCTCGCTGGCGCCCGTCGAGTCCTTCGCCGAGGCTAGCCTCGTCACGGGAGGTGCCCGCGCGTCCGAGGCTGGCCCACCCGCCTGACCCGACAGCGGCCCGCGCGCCGCAGGCGCTGTGGGCGTCACGGCGCGGGCGGCCGCCGCAGGCGCTGTGGCCGTGGTTGCGGGGACCACTCTGGCAAGGAAGAGCCCTACGGGCGGGGGCGCCGTCGAACTGCAGAGGCGCCCACGGGCCACGGCGGAGGGCATGCCGCCGCGTGGGGCCTGGCCTGCGAGCAGGGCGCCGGCGCTGCTGGAGCCTGGGGCCGCGACGACGACGTCCTCGGCGTCGGGCGCGAAGACAGAGTGCCTGGACGGCGTCGTGAGGGGGCTCCTGCGGGATGGGAAAACGACCACGGCCGCTGCTTCTTGTCTGCGCCGCCTTCCAGCCGGCCGGAAAAGAAGCAGTGGTTGTGGTCATTTCCCTGGTGCCAAGCTCAATGAAAATGACCACAACCACTGCTTTGCTTCTGCGGGCTGGAAGGCGGCAACAAAAGAAAAGCAGTGGCTGTGGTCGTTTTCACGCCCCGTGGCTCCAGGAACAGGAGGGCGACAGCGTGGTGCAGGAGGTGTCCAGGGTGGGCGACCGCGGCATGGACGGATGCCCGAGGTGGGTGACCGCGCCAGGTGGGGATCCAGGCCGCCGCTTCTGCGAGATCTCCAGCGTGCGGGCCGACGGCGCCGGCCCCAGAACCTGGGAGAACCAAAAAAAATAGCGAAAAACCTCTGCTCCCTGGACTTCTCCCAGGGTGCGTTCTGACCAGAAGTTCGCAGCGAATCCAGTCGTGGCACTCTCAGGAGCCACCACAATGCGCAGAAGAGGAAACTCGTAGTGGCATTGGTACCTCTCCCCCCTCCGACGACCTGCACCGAGGGCGGGGAAGGAGACTGCAGGCGGCGTGGCGTCAGCGGCAGGGCGGGGCGAACCCGCACCGGCGACGGTGCCTTCACCGACGGCGGCACGGGAGACAGCGAGTGCGGCGTCAGCGGCGTGCCGCAAACGTAGCGCACCGGCCGCGCAACCTCCGCGCGCACTGACAGCGACCGTGTAGCCGCGGGCGCGGGCGCGCGCTGTGCAGGCAGAGGCCCGCCACGCGGGTCCATTGAGGACAGCGGAGCGGGCGACGCCCTGGCAGACCCATCCGCCGGCACAGCGGCTGGCCAGAAGGTTTGAGCCAAGAAGGCTTTGAACGCAATCGACAACAGGCGATGTGTGATCAGTGTGGCAGATTTCCGCTAAAACCTAACACCCACACGGCGGCGATGAGCAGGAGGAGGAGGATGAGGGGTGCGAGGAGGAGGAGGAGGAGAAGGAGGAGGAGGAACGTTAGCAGGAGGACGAGGACGAGAACGAGTATGATAGAGGAGGGGGGCAGGGGAAGATCACAGGAGGGAGAGGATTAGATACAAGAGAAGGAGAACAAGGAGCAAGGTGTTGAGGATGGGAAATGTTATAATAATCCCGTAATGATTCGGATTGGGAATGGAATGAGGGGGGGAGGCTTGGAGGCTCGGGGACTATGAGGAAACAAAGGCGAGACACATGTGGTAATGATACGCACTACAAAGCAACATCTGACAATGAAGGCGAGGTAGAAAATGACCATGAGGGAGGGTCCAGCAAACAACATCAACACTGACGTCGAAGATAACGTTTTCCCTGGCATCGGCGAAGGACTAAAGCTGCTACTGCTTCTATCCCGCAGCCGGGTCCGCGCAGGGCATGCGATGCTGTTCACCCTGCTGGTAAAGCTGTTGTTAGACATGAATGAACTCATCGACTCTGGTGAGCAATCGAATCTTTACTGTGGGCATCATACTGTGAGTGCTGGCAAAGACCTACGTATGCAAACGGGGGCCTGCTTCGAGCGAGAACGACCGCAAGAGGGCGACAAACGAAACAGACAACGAAGCTGAACATGTATGCTCTCGGAACAAAGCATGCGGTATGCTGCGTTCGGCCATAATTTTCCGGACCGCTAGCAGCGTTGAGTAACATTACCTAGGGAAGCCCAGCTGGAGAGAGCGATCGCAGCCGAGGCAAACACGCGTGTATATCCTTGACACCATGAGCGGACTGAAAACTTCCGAAAACCGCTGATGGCCTCGACGGTGTAGCCCGAATCGTCCCACCTGGCTATAAACAGCGATGATGTCTCCAGAATTCGCACACGGCTTAGTTAAATTGCTTGTCGTGGCGGCAAATCAGCTTGCGCCGCTTCCGGAATGGAGCGAAATCTAGATCGACTGTCACGCGTTAGGACTTCCTGGTTCCGAAATATCGTTCGTCAATAAATCCGCGAGGTTCGGCCCATTCGGAATCCAGGTCGGTGACTTGTTGGAACCGTGCGTCGCGCTAGTTACGCAATCTGATGGAACGCGCGAGAGCGCCGTGTCCACCCGTGCCGCCCACGAGCAGCAACGAGCGAAAGATCTCTACAATACGGTCAATGCCCGCTAAAGAGTGCACTTCCAGACCATGTCCCAGCCCCGCTGGGGGCGACGCGCGCAGACTCCCGGCTGCGTACGTCGCCCCCGGCGGGCATTTCTCAAACGTGCCTGCGCGCGAAGTCTTCGGCGCTGCTGACGGCGGTTGGCTCCGCCTCGCCGCAAAGATGCCCCCTGTCCGAGACGATCGCGCGAGCAAGAGCCGTGATATACGCCCTACAGGACACAAAGGCGGCCCTTGACATGTAGACTTGTCCGGCGCGCCCCCAAAAGAGGACCCCCGCCCTTCGCGCGCGGTCTACATGTCAAGGTCCTTCAAACCGGGGTATACATTTCAGGGCGCTCCGGTCTCGCGAGGGTCGACATTTCAGGGTCCGTTTTGTCGGGGTCTACGTTTGAACGCCCTTGCGTGGCTTTCTATTTGAAAGAGCGCGTTCTGTAGCCGCTTGGGAAGGGGGTGGGGGGTTTGGAACTGGACCCCCGCCCCCTGGATGGAGGGGGTTGGACCCCCCTACTCGTCTTCTCTCCCTCTCATCGGCTGGTGGCGGCGGCGGCGGGGACGACGATTTCCTTTCCTGGGCCGGCGCAGGCGCCTGCGGCGGCGGGCGGCGGCGGCGGGGAGCGTCGACCAAGACGACGGTGGTGGTAGTGGTGGTGGGTTGTGGTGGTGGTGGTGGCGGTGGTGGTGGTGGCGGTGGTGGTTGTGGTGGTGGTGGTGGTTTGTTGCGGTGGTGATGGTTGTGGTGACGGGTGGTGGTGGTGGTGGTGGTGGTGGTGGTGGTGTGGTGGTGTGGCGGTGGTTTGTGGTGGTGGTCGTGGTGGTGGTGACTTGTGGTGGTGGTGGTGGTGGTTTGATGGTGGTGTGGTGGTGGTTTGTGGTGGTGGTGGGTTGTGGTGGTGTGGCGGTGGTTTGTGGAGGTGGTGCTGGTGGTGGTGGTCGTGGTGGTGGGTTTTTGTGGTGGTGGTCGTGGTGTGGTGGTTTGTGGTGGTGGTGGTGGGTTGTACTGTTGGTAATGGTGGTGGTTGTGGCGGTGGTGGTGGTGGCGTGGTAGATTGCGGTTGTGGTGGTGGTCGTGGTGGTGGGTTTTTGTGGTGGTGGTGGTGGTGATGGTGCGTTGTGGTGATGGTGGTCGTGGTGGTGGTGGTGGCTGTGGTGGTGGTGGTTGTGTGGTGGGTTGATGGTGGTGGTGGTGGTGGGTTGAGGCGGTGGTGGTGGGGGTAGTGGTGATGATGGTGGTGGTAGTGGTGGTTATCGTCGCTGCGTCCCCACCGTCGCCAGCGCCAGCGCCGGCGCTGCTGGCCGCCGCCAGCGCCGGCGCCGGCGCCAGGGGGTGGGGGGGGGGTTGAACCCCCCCCCGTGGGCGGCGCTAGGGGAGGGGCGGGGTTTGACCCCCCCCCTCTGGGCTGCCTCTGGTCATCGTCGCTGCGCCCCCGGCGTCGGCACTGCTGGCGGCCGCCGGCGCCAGCGCCGACGGGGGGGGGGTTCAACCTCCCCCCCTCCTTCGGAGGGGGAGGGGGGGAGGGTTCGGGAGGGGCAGGGGTTCTGGAGGGGAAGGGAGTCCCCGTGGTTTTGATCGACGGCGCCGAGTGTCGGGGGGGGGGGGCACGCCCCCCGGTTCGAAACGCGCCGCCGAATGTTCCCATCGCAAGCGCCCGTGAAACGCGTTCTCTCTTTCGTTTTGATGCCATTCTCGCGGGTCTACATGTGGGGGGCCGTCAGCCTTTCGAAGGGCCTTGGTCAGCAATTCAGCGCCTTCCTCCTGTCGGCTGTCGGGCAAAGGCCAGGCGCGGCTCGGCCCGCAGGGGTGCCGGCCCCGCCTCCGCGCGCTCCAACGCGTGGCTGCAGCTCTCGATGGCCGCGGCCTGGAACTGCGCCTCAGGGCAGGGCGAAGCGAGGCAGCGGCAGCTATCGCCGGTCCCGGGGCCCCTCCCGGGGTCCAAGCGGACTAAGCTTCTCGAGCTGCGTCCAGTCGTGGCGACGAGGGCCCCGCCCCTCCCTCCATAAGGAAGCCCTACTTTCACTGTCTTCACTCGCCCTCCGCCGAGCAACGCCGCCCCCGCCGCGCATGGCGAGGTAGGCGCGGCCGCCCCGAACGACGACCCTCCTCGTCTCGCCCTGCTCCCGAGCATCGTGCTCAGCGTCGTGCTCCCGCGCGTGGCCTCGCGCATCCAGGTCGGGCTTCGGCGCGGCAGGCCCCCCGGGGGCGCGCGCCCTGCACTGCGCGGACTCTGCTTCTGGAAGCCTGCCCGGAATTTTTCAAGGCCCCTCGGGCTTCCAGGGCCATCGCCGTCTCGAGCATCGACCTATCTCTCGGCGCAGGGTGCATCCACTGCGCCTCCCTGGTCTCCCATGTCGTAGTCTGGTTGGCGCAGAGCTCGAGGTCGCCGCGAACCGTTGCACTGATTCGCGCGCTGTGTGCTTTCCCCCCTCGGTCGCGCGCAGGTCGGGTTGGCGCAGCGGCTTGGCCGCTGCTGCGCGACCCCGAATGTCCACCGTCATCTGATTGGCCGAGTTTTGCACTGGCTGCTCCCTTTGCATGCCGTCGCCATCCTCGTCGCTATTAGAGACTGGCCGCCCGCGTCGATCTTCGTCGGCCGGGTCGGCACCCACCGCGGGCGGGGTTTCTTTGTTTGCCGAGGTCTTGTTGGAGATCATCCTCTTGAGCCTCGCCTTCTTTCGCGATGTCGGGGTCGCCGGCCATGGCCTGGATCGCCTCGTCGCGCGATCCGCCGATCGGTCCGCTCGTGCCAAGGCTGGCCGCGCTGGTCTCGCCCGGCGAACCTCGCGCGCCAGTTCGGCCGCGCGCCTTCGGGATTCTCGGCCAATGGCCAGCCAGGTCGTTTCAATGCCGTTGTCTCGCCAGGTGTCTGGCTCGAGAGTTGTAGGCCGATCCGGTCCGAACAAGCGAATACATATTGCAGTCGCCAGGGGCTCTCCATCCTGCCTCGCCGACGCCTGCCCGCCAACGAGGCGCCCGGCCCCCTCGTCGACGGTCGGTCGCGAGCCGTTGCGCAGCACGCGGCAGCTGCGAAATCGCGGTCGCTGCCTTCTCGCGGAACCAGGTCGCCTTGACCCTGCGGGCACTCGGGGCCGCGCATGGGAGCCCACCGGCGCAACTCCTGGCCGCCGCCCCCCGCCAAACAATCGAAAGCGCACCGCGCATGTGAGAAACTCCTGGGTTTCGCAAGTGCCCGACCGCGAGTTATGCCCCCCCCCCGATGGCTGGGGCCAGCTCCCAGCTTTGGTTTCGGAATGCACGCGCGATGTGCTTGGCCTCTAGCGCCGCTGCGTCTGTGGCGCCTCCCCCGTCGCAGCGCGCACTCCGAATTCCGCGAAGGCTTCCATCTCCAGGCTGCGCCGCCCGTCCGCGCAGCGGTTGCCGTCGGGGCCCTCCGAAGCGTTCTCCTTGTCGGCGACTGCGACTGCCGCGCAGCGCGAGCGCAGGCCCGCGACGAGTAGCTGGCGTGCCCTTCGTCTGTGGCGCTGGGCACAAGGCTCGACGCCCCTGTGGCAGCGACCTTCTGGCGCGCGGAGGCGAGGCGTCGGCCCCTCCGACCCGCGGCCGGTCCTCTGCCGTGCTCGGCTGTCGGGCCCCTGGAGGTTCTTGCCTCCCCGTGTTTCAGACTCTCGTCTTCCCCGTGCTTTTGCTGATGCCGCGGCGCCTCTGGAGGGCCTCCCGCGCGGCGTCGAGAGAGAAACCTTGCCCTGTCTGTCGTGGTGACTGCGTGCGCGTCGCCGAGAAGGGCGCAGATGCGCCCCCCGGCCTGTTGCAGGGCTGGGCGTTGCCCCGACGCAAACAAGGCTGGCACGGGCGAGTCTTTAGTTATCCATCCTCCGCCTGGTCGATCGCGTGCCCTTGTCCCATGTCGTCGTGCCAACAAAAATGCGATCGTTCCCCAGAGAAGAGGCGGCAACAGGGAAGCAGCGCGCTGCCCCGGCCCAGGCTTGCCAGGCCTTCTAGCATTGCGTTTCTGCACGTGAGGTCACGCCCCGGTTCCATCTACATGGAGACCACCGTGGCTTCATGGCCGTCCAGGGTGTGGGCCTGCGCCAAGTGCGCAACGCATTCCGTGCCCGCCCGGGTCGTCAGGACGAATTGGGAAGTTTTTGTCACCCCTCCCCTGTGATTCTCTCGGCGGAAAATTATCCACCTTTCCTCCACTTCCTCCTGCTACTCCTCCTGTTCCTGCTCCTGTTCCTGCTCCTGCTCCTCTCCCTACTTGTGTTACTTCTACTTAGACTTGTACTTGTTCTTTCAATGCTACTACTACGACGACGACGACTACTACTACTACTACCACTACCACTACTACTACTACTACTACTACTACCACCACCACCACCACCACCACCACCACCACCACCACCACCACCACCACCACCACCACCACCACTACTACTACTACTACTACTACTACTACTACTACTACTACTACCACAACCACTACTACTACTACTACTACTACCACTACTACTACTACTACCACCACTACTACTACTACTGCTGCTACTAGTAGGTGTTACTAC